TTTAATAACGGGTTTGACCTCGCAAATCGAATTTACGATGGAACCTGGCTTTAGCAGAACAGTGACCACTGTTCTAAGTATTATATTTTATTATGCCTTACCTTCTTGAAAGAATCGACTCATTATTTGAACAAGTAGGATCAGAGAGCACTTTGTAGCAACTGACTTATGGCCTTCTTGCCTTTGGTTTGGCTATGGATAACTAATTTCTCTTGCTCTTTAATTTTTTATTTTGAGTAAAAATTGTGTGCTAGGAAAGTGGTTCAAAATATATTCTGCTCTAAAAGTGTGTATATAATCTTAAAGTGAAAACTTTCTTAGTTTTTCTTATTGGCAATGAGCCAACCCCTAGTATTCGAAATCAGTAGTTTGTGAGTTGTTAGGTTCGCTCGGCTTTGGTGTCGTGTAGGTGGTTCTAAAATTTTTTTTTAGTATAGGGATTTTTGACATTAATGAACTAGAGGAATCTTTACTATAATCTTCATTTCTTGGAGAATTGCTAGTTCATAAAGGGAATACTCAAAAATAGTTCGTTACATTCCTTAAATCGTTATATTCAATTAATTTTGTAAGAAAAAATATTATTAGACAATTCTTCTTTAAAGTGATAATGCTGCATTCAAAATTATTTTATAAATTAAAATTTTACGAATTTTGAACAAATACGAATTTTGAAATATATTTGTTTTTTATTAATTGCATTCGACATATTATGTTTTTATTTATTTTCAAACATTTTTTAAAATTGCTATTTGCTGATTGCAAATGAAGTTTAAATTTACGTTGGTATTATTGTAAATCGCGTGAAGACAGGAAGGTTTAGGTCGTTTAATTTCTTCGAATTATTCTACTTAATAATTAAAATTAACTTATAAAAATTGGTCCTATGAATTTCTCGAATATCAGTGCTTCGTTTTATAAAATTGGAAAACTTTAAAATATTAAGAAATTCATGCGTCGTTCTGATAACTCTGACTATTTCAAGCTTCGCTATTTTATTAATATTGGACAGAAAATCACTTCTTAAGAATAAGAGTGGCAGGTGGATTTCAAATGTCATTAGGATTCTGCATTTATCGAAATCTTATCGAGAACTTCCAAATCTAATTGATTTTTCCCCTAATCTGATTGCTATTCACATAAAAATCCATTTTTAGACGTTTGAAACCAAATTGTTGGTGCCTTTTGTTTCACAAAAAAAAAGTGAACAACAAACTAGCCGTTGCAACTTTCTAAATTATCCAAACTTAATACATACATACCGCAATATTTCGGTATATTATTTTCATTATTTGCAGAAGAAATTTTTTATTTATTTTTTCGCTTAGAATTCTAAAGTTATTTTTTCCATATTTTGTTTACTGAAAGCGTAATCGAACTTATTGAACTCATTGATTCATATAGATTTATTATAGATATGCTCTGTGGCAGATGAATGTTTTATCATAGTATCATGAGAATTTTTATCGTTTCGGCACGCTCTATGAGTCGGTTAGTTCTCTTAAATTTCTTAAGGTAACCGTGAATATCGTAAAAAACGCTTTAGCATTTATTGTAAATATCCAAAATATTTTAGAAAGTCCATTTCTTTTTAGCATTCCAGTGCCGAATACATCCTCAGCAAATGGTTATTCGGATTTTTTGGCGATAGAGAAAGGAGTAAATTCTATATTTAAATTTTTTCGTAGAGAATATTGTGGTTTATCAAAAATTGATGACATATCCGAGCATATCAGTTTTTTTAATCATAAAAATGATTTCATTGGCATTACACCAGTTAAAATGGTTCTCATTTTTATTATTTTATCTCTGAAATTTTTTGAAAAAAATTGAAAAGTTTTAAACCTATCAATCTTGGTTTTATTCTCATAGAAAAAGATTTCTTTTCTCATTAAAAATGAAAAAAGATCGTCGAATAGTGTAATGATTAAGAGGAATTTCAAGGCTTTTCAGCAAATTTTCATATTAAGTGTTTTGGAAACTTTAGAATGAAACCTTTTCTAACCTTTTCTTTTGATTTTTTCTGGGTAATTTTTTATGATTTTTATATTTTCTAATTTTATTTTCTATTTTTAATTCACTTTATTTTGTCAGAAAAACTTGGAGAATCTAAACCATTCGCCTGAAATTATTTTTACTTGTTTATGTGAAGATGCGATTAAAAATCGTCGTGTAAATCCTTCAAATTTTCGCGATGTACTCATTTTATTGGAATATGGCAGCGGTAAGTTTTTTTATAGATTTTTTCCTGTATCATTTATTTTTTTATTGGCTGGTATAATTTGAGGAATTTTTTTAAAATTTCATTTCTATAAAACTTTAGCATCAGTCATTGATATTTTGAAGCGAGCTCCCGAAAATATCGATCTAATGACTAGAATCTGTGGACAACTTTTACCTCAGTTTTCTGATCAAGAGAGAATGTTATTGTTTAACCGACTATGGAAAGCTGTAAATCACTGGGGTTTGTGATAATTTTACTTTATAAATAGTGCATAAGAATTTCCTTTAACTTAGATTTTTCTATCTTAAAATAGTTATAGTTACTTGTTTGGCTTTAACTAAAAAAAGTTTCGAAATATTAGTTTAAGATGCTGAATATTTATCCTTTTAAAACTTTTCTGGTGCCCATGTATTCTATATTTTAGTCTTTGTGGCATAAAACAGATATCATTTGATAAAAACGAAATTTCAGGTTTGCCGATAAGTACCGAAATCTTCAACAATCGTTTAATGGTACACTTAAAAAATGAGGATTTATTTGATGTATGGAAAGTGCTTGGCGAAATGAACGACCTATCTCTAAAACCAAATGAAAAGACTTTTCACTATCTTTTTGAATGTTGTGCAATTAAAGGAGAGGAAAGATTATTGAAGTAAATAATATTATCATTCCCAATTATTTTTTCATTTCGTAATAAATAAATTTTGCCTCTTTCATTTGCAGAGCTCTCATCGACAAGCTTAGGGAATACGATTTAACCATGGATTCTTTAATGTTTTCTTCTGTTATTCATTGTTATGTAAAGCGAGGCGATTACGAAAAGGTTCAGTCATTATATAAGGTGTGGTTTTTCTTCGAAAAGAATAGATTGTCGGGAGTAATATATCACATTTAAATAGCTGAACTTTGGGTTCACAAAACTTTTTTTATATATTCATATATAATCATTCATTGTTCATTCATGTTTATATTCATTCATGTTTTTATTGTTTTATTTATGTTTTTTATTACAAAAAACTTTACTTTTGCTTTATTATCCAGATAAGTTCGGCATTTTCGCTTTTGAGTTAAAACATTATTTTAGGAAGCAGCTGCTCGATTTGGTGATAATGGAAGGGTGTTAGCGTTATCAGCCATTTTTCGTGGAACTGCAGCTCGGAAAGACATATTGAAAGTTAAGGAGGTATGTTTATTTATTTGAAACAATTTGTTTATTTTGGCTTTTTGCATGTACCTCTGGAAGGAAATTTTTTTATAGTTGTAATAAAAGTGTAAATGTATATAACACATTTCTATTATTTATTGGCTTCCTTTTTTTCTCACAATTTTGAATTTATTAAATTCATACAAGAAACAACGACAGAGCATTTTGGGTTTATATTTATTTTTTTAGATTCGAATTTTTTAGATATTAAAGGATTCGATTGTCCTTGCTAAAGAGATGGAAAAATTTGAAGGAAGAAATATGTACTCTGTTTTTCATTATTCAACTATTTTCGAGGCAATACAGCTCTTAATAAAGCACTGTAATGATTTTGGTCGCGAAAAGGTTGAAATAATTGAAGAGGTTGCTTTCACAAGAGGATGTCGTTTTGGCAAAATTTTCTTATAGTATGGTTCAAATAATTAAAAATTTAAGTAAGAAAGAAAATTTCAGATTTTGAAAAGTATTCATAAAGGAGCTGGCTATTTTAAATATGTTTTTTGTGAAGCGCTTCGTCATGTTCGTGATAAAAATTATTATATTGCTCTATCATTAATCAAAGATATTTCGACGTTTTTCGGCATCACGGCGAATAATGGAAAATGTTTGCATTATATACATATTTTTATTTATATTTTGGAATATTTATTTGTACAAATAAGCATAGGGGATAAAATGGCCCAGTGGGTCGTTGTTCAATTGGTAGCGCTGATGCTGAGATTCGATTCCCCGCAGGAGTAAACCTGTATTAAAATTGGGTGATGCTGGCGACTCACCTGTATTCTATCGTCAAGGGACTCCCTAAAATATTGTCCAATACGACAAGCCAGTGGAGCGAGTTTAACTGGTAATGGTGAGGACTATTTTAAAAAAAAGCCAAATAAACATGGCATAATACTGGTGTTAAAATAATAAAAAACAAAATGACGTAATAAATATATAAAAATTGAATGGGAATTGTATTCTTAACTTATTACAAATGGTGCTAAATAATGTTGTAAATATTATTTAGCATCGTTTTAAAACTAGTTGCTGAAGGTGAACTTGTTAGTCCTATAGATGATTTATTTTAACAATATTTTTATTTAATTTATTTTCTATAGAACCATTTTCTGCAAGTTCCATTATTCGAACTATATATTTGTTATTTTGCGGGGCGTAGCGCTAGGTAATTTGTTGCAGTTGTTTTGTTGTGGCTTAGATGATTTTATTTTATTCGAGAATTTCGAAATAGCTCATGGTTTTATAAAATGTGCTTTCTTCAAATGAATGTTTTCATAAATAGAAAATTTTCAGGGATTCCATTAATAACGGAATTTATGTCGTATCTTAGTAGAGAAGTTATTGTTAATAAATTGAATTTAAAAGAAGTAAGAGAAATTACAGAATATGCCAACCAAACATTAAATACTGAGTAAGTTAATTTTTTTGTCGAAATAGTTTTGTCAGCGTTCAGCAGAATTGCTTTCAGAAAACTCATTATTTTATTATGTGCTACTATTTTGATATTATTGGTGTTGCTGTCTAGAACAGTTTTTAAAATTATTTTTATATTGAATTATTTTTATTTTTATATTTACAAAAAAATTTGTAAGCTTATGTTGGTCATTCTTTTTTTATTCTTCTAAATTAAAGTTACAAACCAATTTATTCATTCATATTCTTTGGCTTTTTAGCGATAAAAGTATTTTTATAGTGCTTATAGGTTTCTATCGATTGATTTTTCATTTAAATTTGGTGTAAATTTTGGCTAATATGATGGATCACTAAGAAAAAAGTTTTAAATATGCGGGATGATCATCGCTTTTTATTTTTTTGGTTTGAAAATTTTTATTACAGGAATAGGTTTTGCGATTTTGTCTTATTCTCGATATTCACTTATCGTGATATGACAGTCGAACAAAAATTTGAATATTTTAAACAATTGGTTGACATCATCGATCCATTTCGTAAGCGAGTTCACATAATTTTGCCTCTTCTTGTCAGGTATTTTTTTTAATAAGATTTCTATTTTTTATGAATAGAAACAATATTTTTATTCAGCTTCATGTCTTTATTTTACAAGAAGATGTAGCTTCTTTTTTCATTAATAATTTTAAACAAAGTTGTTCTATATAATGAAATATCATGAAGACAGTAAATTATTTTAAATTTTTGAAATATTTTTCAGCTCACCGTTGTCCGTTAAACTTAATGTTTTGAAAGAATGTGTTACTGTAGGATATGATGATATATCATCACTGAATATTTATTTATTGGAACATTTCGTTTTGAAACCCATCGTTTGTTAGTTATTTTTTGTTAAACTTTTTATGCGACTCAATTTTGAGGACCTTTCTTCTAAATTTCACATCTTTTTTATTTTTTCACTTATATATTTAATTCTTCAATGTTTATGAATTATTTGCGTTATAATTTGAATTATGAATTTTATATTTACGTATAATTTAATAATTATGCTCTCTTTTGCAGTATCCTATAAGGGAATCTGCCCTTCGTCTATGTTCGATGTTTTGTTCGCTTCATTCAGTGACCGTTCCATTAAGTCAGATGTAATACTGAATATGCTTATTAATTGGCGCGAGTTTTTGAAGATGAGGAATGTGAAAGATTGTGCAAGCGAAATAGAAAAATTTGCATTGGCAGCTTTAAACGAGTTCGTTTATATTAAATGATTTTAAAATGAAATCTTGAACGTTGTCTGGAATTTTTTGAAAAATTACTGTGAACTACCGTGATCTTACATAAAATTTACAAGCTCATAAATCATCAGTGGAAAGTAGCTTTAACATTAGAGACAAATTTGACATTATCGAATTAAGGGTGTAGGCTTTTTTCTTTCGTTTTAGTTTTTATTTTTTATTTTTAACGTGTTTCAGGCGGTTGGATGACAGAATTAGAGAGTATAAGTTCAAAAAAAGTGGAAAAGGATCAGAAATTTCCAAATTAGTTCAATTAAAGGTTTTTAAAAAGAATTTATTACTTTTTTAGAAACTTTTATGATAAATTTCATAACCTTGAAATCAAGATTTTTATCGTGTATTGCAAGATTTCGAATACTAATGACTATAAATTTTGCATTAACTGAGGCATTAACTGAGCGAATAACTGAGGTCTTTTTCATCAGGAAGTTGATGCAATGGGACGAAAAAAGGATTTCGCGGCTTCCAATTTTGACAATTCAGTGCAGCCTTTATTAAATTTATGTACATCAGTCGAAGATTGGAATCAGTTGAAGGAAATATTATACAGATGGTACTGCAAGTTTTTAGTAAATTTTATATTTCACGAGAAAAGTATTTTAAGAATATAGGAGCATCTTTCAACTATTAAGACGTTTTTAAGCGATATTTTTCAGCAATTTTATGAAAATAAAGAGAATCTAAAATTACATTTTTTAAGAAAACTGGTGTTGTATTAGGGCCTTTCCGACCTTTCTCCCATTGTAAAACGTTTAAAATATTTCGGTTAAAATATATTGTTGTTTGGTTAGATAATTTAATGAAATAATGTTTAATGATTAAAAATATAATTTTAAAATTATTGTTTCATAAAATTCGTAAATTTTTTTTTACCCTCACTTTTTCTTAATCGTTATTAGGTCGATCACATCTGAAAACGCTGCATCAAGTATTGAAAATTATCATCTCATACGAATTTTGCGAAAGCATATAATTATTTTTGGAAATATAGCAGAAACAATAAACTTTTGTCGAAAATTTCGAGAACTTTTTCCCTCGAGTAATTTTAATTTTTTTGATTAATTTTTGAGTAATTTGGAATGATAATTATTTCAAATGAAAGAAAGCAGAAGCAAATGTTTATTCGTGCTAAAAAAATTGAAATGGACTATTATTAAATCAAAGAATGACGAATTTTGATGCTGATAATACCGTTGGAGTACTTTAATAAATATCGGCACTCTCTATTCAACTTAAGCTTGAACAGATTTTTTTGATTTCTTGCATCTTCCTTAAAATCTTTTTGAGATGTCTTCTAAAATCTTCTAAAATCTTAAATCTTTCGATGTTTCTTAGTTTTCCTTTAGTTGTTTATCGAAGAGAAAACTACCACGATACACTTGTGGAGTGTACGACATTGCTGCAAACCTGTCTTTCATCCAAATTTATGAGAGATAAAGGAAGTGTTCATAATATTATGCTCCTGTTAAAAGAAATGGTGGACAACAATTTGGTTGAGTTTCATCGTGAAGAGAATATTTCTGCTCATTTTATCGTCGGTGTGCTCAAGAGGTACGGAAGTTATTGTTCATCAATTTTAATTTTGCAGGCAAGCAGGAACTGATTCTTCTCCACGGGTGAATAAAAGTTATTGGGAATATTTATGGATTTTTGAATTTTATATCAAATCTTTTTGATTGAAAATTGAGATTGGGATGGCGAGAAGCTCTTCGAACTTGGTTAATGTTCCAAGGATTATTTGATTCATCGAATGGAATGGTACATTTGCTTCATTATGCCCATGCAGAAAATCGAGATGATATTGTTAAATTTGGTTTCTAGCCTTATTTGTTTTTCGCTTTTATATTTTTATTTATATACTTGTTTTTAAATAGATTTTATTTCATCTAAATCGCTTCATTGTAGTTCTTGATCGAGCCAAGTATCATCTTAGTGCTTCAAGAGTAAACGCAAATTTTGCTTCATTTTTGGTTCTGACGAAGCGATTAGATAAAGCAAAAGAGATATTTCAAAAGGTTCCAATTTATGAAAAGATATTATAATTCTCCATGTGTCACAAACTGATTTCTTTAAATGAATACTTGCTTCGAGAATTTATAGGTCGATATATCTTCTTATGACGCTATGTGTGCTTTTCGATTGATGGTTTCACTTACTTATCAGAAGGTTTGTTTTAATTGTAGTTCTTATATAGAATTGAAATTTCCATGAGATATTGAGTCAAAACCTTCTTGGACGATGTTCAACTTTGTTGGGTGATTATTTCATTTTTTTATTTGCAAATTTTTTTATCCCTCAGTACTGCATGCATGTAGCGAAAAAATTCGAAGGAATATATAAAAAGAATTTTTAGATGATATGTTTACAGTAAAATGGCATGCAAATGCATTTCTCACACTATATCATTGTATAAGCTTCATTTATTTTATTTTAGCCTGATGTTGATGTTGCATTTGAATTTGCAAAATTGTGCTTAAAATACACTGATTTGGCAAAAGATAAGCTGGCTTGCCAGTCATTTCATGATGAATGGCTAAAAACTTGTGGTAAGATGAAATTGTTTCAGTGATTATCTTTTATTTCTAGTTAACTCTGGTGAAGTAGTAGCTGCTAACTATGGTAATAAATGTATTTTTAATTTCTTATAGAGTTGTAATCGCTCTTAATGTCAGTGTTTATTTCATATTTCACTCTCTATTGGAAGATTTAGCTAATTCGAATATTCAAATGGTTTTGAAATTTTTTTCAAAATTTTATTTTATGAATTGGCTTCAGAAAATCTGCGTGCAGGCAAAAAAGCTGTTGATTTTTATTCTCTTTTTAAACGTTATGGTCAAAATCTGACGTTGAAGCAACTTCAAAAAATATCCTCTCTTTCAAATGAGTACATACAATTATCTACGTTCGTTGTTTTTGGCTTCATACGGTTATTTACACTGTGATAGAGCTAGCTTTCCTAATCAGTTTATTTCATTTTTATTCCGAATTTCTTTAGGAATTGGATTTATATGCCTTCTGGTTTGCTGAATTCGGAGAAATCTTGGGATTTTTTTGATTTTGAGGCGACTAAAGCTGAACTTGAGAACCTCTTAATAAATGAAGAATTCTTTCGAGACGCGGAGGAATATCGCTGTGAATTCAAGCTTAAAAAGAAAGGGCCAAACGTTTAATAAATACGGAATTTCTTTCACTGCATTTAATATTGGTCTTATTGTTCCAAAAGAATTGTTCTCGTTATAAAAAGATTAGCTGTTATCTATGCAATCTACAGTTAACTTATTTATTGCTTTCAGATTTTATTTGCCTAAATTTAATAAAAAAAAAAGCTATAAGCTTTAATTGCAGATTAGGTCGAAATAGGGGGTTGCCCATAAACCATTTTTCAATTAATAACTTCTCCTTATTAAATTTGCAAGTAATCATAATTTTTTTTACTTCATTTCATATAAATTGTATTTTATTTATTTATGTTTTTTTTTTATGGTCCAAGCCAGTTTAACTATTTTTTACTATTTTAATTATTTTTCATACTATGATTTTTTTTATGTATTCGATTTCTGGTGTATATTCGATTTACACTATATATTGTTTCTGAAAACGGGTAAATTATTGTTACATTGTGTTTCATTCTTCGCTTTTTCAAGTAACATCTTCTTTTATTTGTTTTTGGTTACTGGCATTTAACATATCGTTACTGATTCAGGGACGACCAAATTCAGCTATATAGAATTATTTTTAGAAAAGTTAAGGAATGGATTATCTAGGAAGAAAATTGTGCTTTTTGCTTTTCAGTCATGAAGTTTTTCAATTTTATTTGGCTAAATTATTTCCAGTTATAGATTAATTATTTTGGTCATCCCTGATCTGTTCCCAGGATTTTTTAAAATCCTCCAAGAAATTACTTTCATCGTTTACCGTCTGAAATTGAGAATTTTGTGGAAGAGTAGATACTAAAGTTTATTTTTCAGATGAATATATTCCGACTATCAGCAGATCTTGCTCATCTTATTGCCATTTTCATCTTGGCTGTGAAGATGTGGAAAACACGTTCTGTTGCCGGAATTTCTGGACGTTCACAGATTCTGTTTGCTGTCGTTTTCACTTCGCGTTACATGGATCTGTTCACCAATTTCATCTCACTTTATAATTCTGCCATGAAGGTCATTTTAGTCTTTTTTTGGCTGAGTAATGAAAGCAGTAATTGTTTTTCGATTTTATTTTAACTTTTTTGTGAATAAGTTAAATCAGTTAAATCATAGTTCTCATTATAATTGAAAAGAATTTTAGATATTTTTCTTAATTTCTTCATATGGAACAGTTTATTTAATGTGGATGAAATTTCGAGCTACCTATGACAGAAATCATGATACTTTCCGTACTGAATTTTTGTTGCTGCCTTGTATTATACTTGCCTTACTTGTTAATCACGAGTTCACTATTATGGAAGTATGTGTTTTTTATTTTTAAAAAACTGTTGGTTGCCAAGGTAAAACAATATAATATTGCATTAAAATCCTTTCGAATTCATTTTGATATTTTAGATACTTTGGACTTTCTCTATCTATCTAGAATCTGTAGCGATTATGCCACAGCTGTTTATGCTATCTCGCACTGGTAGTGCAGAAACGATTACGGCACATTATCTTTTTGCTCTTGGTTCATATCGGTAGAGTTTATTTGTCTTACTATTAGTATCATCTATCGTAATATGCTGAAGAGGCGCAATTTATCTTGTTCATTGGTTGATTTGCGCATATAGTCATTATTTCAGCGATATAATATTGCTACAACATTAATAATTTTGCGATATAATAAAAAAATAATTTATTTGTAAATAATTTAAAATTATTTAAGTGGGTTATATATATTGAACTGGATCTATCGTTACTACACGGAAGGATTTTTCGATCCTATTGCAGTTATTTCTGGTATTGTTCAAACAGTTCTTTATGCTGATTTCTTTTATCTTTACGTGACTCGTGTGCTTCGCCAAAAGCGTGGTCTTCAGTTATCAGCATGAAAGCACATGCGTTTAGGATTAGTTTTTTTCTGCCATCTTCGGTCCATTTTTTTAAATTTGTAAATGGAGATTTGCTAACGTTTTTTGTTGAAATTTTTGCTTAGAATTATTTTGGTATTCTGGAAAAGATGTGAAAGATAATATTTTCTCGTTGATTTAAAATGCGATCTTATTATGCGTAGAAAAATTGATCCTTTAGTTGTTTTCGTTATTTCCGAGTGATTTTTTATTTTTTGCCAGATTTCATTATTTGACCGGAAGCGTAGACACTGTATACATTTTGCATTCGCTGATGCAAAATGTATACAGTGTTAAAATAATTTGGCTCTCAGCACAAAATTTCAAGCGTTATTGCATTGAAATTATGTTAATGTGGAAGGCAGTGTGTCATTTTTTTCTTTTTGTGACTAGTAATGATATGGAAATTAAAGAAATTATGAGCATTATTCTTGCGATTTTTATATTTCTATTTTTCATATTTCTATATTTTTATATTATTTCTTTATTATGGCTTTAGACCATTTCTACCATATTAAACGGCGACGTCTTATAGGGATCATTTTGACATTTGTTATCATTTGAAATATATTTATATTTTCATTTCCATTTATTTGTTTCTTTTTTATAATTTGTTTTGTCTTGTTAGAACATTTCAATTTGCCAATAATTTGTTTTATTCTCAAATTTTTATCCAACTAAAATAATACAATAAGGCAGCTTAATAAAATAATAAGACAGCTTTGCTTGCGATTGATTTAAGCAGAAATTTGTTGTTATCTATCTATTTAATTTTATTTTCTATTCTATTTTAAATAATAATTTAGCATTTGTATGATGGTGGTATCTGCCGATAAAATGATATGTGGATGTTAGTTGATATCGATAAACATATTACCATTTTCTTTAACTGTTTATTTTTCTAAATTTCTTGTTGTAGAACAGAAAACTTGTTATCGCTATCTTTTTTGTAATTTTTTTTCTTTTATAATTGCATGTTTTTATATTCATTTAATATCAGCAAAGTTGCTGCTTAAATTAATCGGCATTTTTTCGTTGTAATATTTTTTAGCTGATATTTATTTATAAAATATTTATATAAACATTTTTTCTGTTCAGTTTGGGATAAAATTTGTTGCGTCAAAATATCTTTTCCTGAAGTGGTTTTTAACCACTTTTATTTAATCATCAAAGAAAAAATATCCCATAAAAAACTCAGTCAGTTTCCATGGTTTATAGTTTGGTTAACAATCTTCTGAAGTTATGTCGTTATACGTGGTATTATCTTCAACAGTTCATTTCAGCCAAACTTGATTACCTTAATCTGATTGCTCGTGAGAGAGGTTTGGGTGAGAGGTCCTATTAAAATAAATGTGTTTATTTTTATTAATCTTAATCTTAATTAGAAATAAAGTATTTCCCACGGTTGTGAATACGGCGCGGTAATATGCACCACTTTTGAATGCGTTAAATTCTAAATTCACTAAATTCAATGAAGGTTAAGCACAAATATTCTGAGAAGAGATCAATAGGAAGTTTCGCAAGAAGACTAAAGAGGTATAAGTATAAGAGATATAAAAGGTTTAATTTAAAACCGTATAGCTTACCAGCTTGTGCTTCGAAAGTGCTTGCTGATCCTCTTTGCTTCTTTATAGCTCAAAATTTGATAATGTTTGATAGGTTTGTTCTATTGAATGTGGAGATGAGGTACTTTAGCCAGAGAATTGAGGTTATAGTATAAGGAGTATTAACCATTTGCTGTATATACGGTGGAATAGGTCCGTAAATAATGTTTGATTTATAAAAGATGTCTTAAATGATAAAATAATTTTGGTCAAGAAGTTTTGGTTTCTGGATTAGTCGGACGGAATTCCTTAGGTTCTATCATTGATTTTTATTTTAGGTGATAACGAGAAGATAGTTTATCGAGGAGATATGTGGCGCTTCTCGAAGTGGCATTGCGCTAGGTGCGTTTCTGTACGAAATTCATTTTATACATTGATATTTTTGTATACGATACAATAAATATGGGGTTAAAAGCGATCAACTTTTCCATATTTAAGTTTAACAGTTTATCATAACTTTAGTTTATCTTAACCTGCCTTAACTTTAAATGATGGATTGACATAAACTGGAAAATTTATTATTTTTCCATCGCATTTTTGTTTTTTTTAATGGTTGACAACGGAAATATCGGGTTAACCTTGAAGGTATGAATCACAATGGAAGTTTAATTCTTTGAATTTAGGCTATATATTTTACAACTAAGGGTAAAATCGCATGGAGCTACTGCTGCGAAATCGGAAGGTCAGTTATTTATTTATATCAATTTTATCGAAATTAATTTTTTCAGTTTGATGTTGGTAATGTAAACGTGATAAAAGTTTGTAAAAGTTTATATGAAAATCTTTTAGCTGTTGAATGTGAGTCGACTGGTAGTTCCACTTGGTCTGTTAAAGAGAATGCATCTGGTTATTTCTGTGCATATAGTGGAAATTTATTACAACTAGAAAGTAAGCAGGGGTAAGCTTTAGCTAATATAAGTATTTCAAATTTCTTCATTTTCATTTGCCTATATTCATATTTTTTCGTCTTATTTTCCATTCTTCGGCTTATTTTTAATTTTTTGTATGTCAGTTTTTTTTGGTTCTTTTTAATTTTAATTTTATCTTATTTATTTTTATATTCACAGATTTTAATTTTATTTCATTTCAATTCAACTTCCGATCATTTTAGTTCATTTTGCATGGATTCAGCTAATTCAGCGCATTTAAATGATTTTTTGAAAAATGACTGTGAATTGTCTGGTAACCAAGCAGGTAAATTGTTTTTTTAAATTTTTTATTCTTTAGGCGTTTACCAGATTGTATTTTATAATCGCATAAATTTAAATTTAATTTAATTTAATCCGTCTTTTATTTAATTCAACTCTTTCTACTTCTCTTGCTAGGCCTTATTTTATTTTTAAAAACTAATCTGATAGTTCTTGGTTAATTTTATTTTTCTGCCTTTTTTCAGCATCACTGAGTAAAAATTTTTCGATGTCGTCGTTACAAAATTATTTTGAGTCTCTTGGAGGAAATTATAATATTTCGGGTATACTTGATGATTTTTTCGAAGCGAGTAACGAAAGAAAAGATGACGCAATATATGAGTGGTATTTAGCGGATTCTATTGATTCTGCAGGCTGGTAAGTTGATTTTAAGTTTTTCTCAATTAAAATTAGCAATTTTAAGTATGTGCCTTATAGCCGTTTAGTTTTCCAATGTATGTGATGAATTATTTTCTTTTTTTAATAGCATAAGTGAAAAGTCATGATTGAAATATCTTTATGTGATTTTTGAAGGTCTGCAAATAACTACTTGCCTTGTGATGTACCTTCACGAAAAATTGATCTCAGGAGAACCGGTTGTTTGCGTCAGAGACATTTAGTTAGTATAGTTCAGTTTGATTTTTTTTCAGTTAATTCAAAATCCGGTTTTTAAAGGACTTTCTTATTGCTAAGAATCATTATCTCAGCATTTTATTTCAGGCTTCCCGTTACTTAAAACTTTATTATTCAAGGCGAACAAATACTTCCAACGTAACATCTTCTCCTGTGCTGTTGGCCGATAGACAAATTGGCAATAATTATTCAAATGATGAGGCTGGCATATTTTATATTTTCAACCATTTAAAGATGTAAAAAGTTTTTGAATATGCTGATTTCATTTCTGAATTTTAGGCGGAAACTTACAGTGGATATATATTTATTGGTGAAGATCGACCTAATAATGCAAAGATCTCATTTCCTCACAGTTCAGCCGAAAAAGAGGATATGAGACCTAAGGGAATCAGCTCCACAGAAGAATCTTCAGTCAATCTGCCTACAAGTATCCGACCTTCCGAGGTTCAGTGCCAAGTTCACTCTCGAAAACCAGGGAGTGCTCACGCAAAGTTGCTGCGGAGTTTAACAAAAACGAAGGTTTTTTCTCTCATTCCATTCTTGCTGAATGTTGGTGTTATATGAATAATTTTGAATTTTTTCAGAATGTTTTTAAATTGCTGGAAGTACTCAATGAATATGGATGGCCAGAATTCCATTTTTTAAGAAGTTTTTTATCTCAGCTTTTCAGCGTCTTGATCGAATCCAGTACTGCCGTGGATGATATTGTAATCCTTCTCAGTCAGTTGTGAGTTTCTCATCTTAGTGTGATTTTAATCAAATTGCTTCATTGCATTTTCTTTATATTAAAGATTTGCTATTCATTTAATCGACATATTGGGAAAATCTAGAAAAAAGACATAAGCGAATGGAGATGCTTGATCATAAAGCCTACAAAAAGATAATTTTTTTTTTTCGTTTTAAAAATCTTGTTTGAAATGCTAGTTATGTTCGAAAAGAAGTTTGTATTATTTTTCTGAGCCAGGCTTTATATGAACGGCAGTTTTAATTGTGCCTTAGTAGAATATTTATTGATTGAACAAATTGGTTCCTTAGTTAAGCTTTTGATTTGTAGAATGGCAAGTGATTGTCGCGCTTTTTTGCACAATTCGGTTTTGATTTCTCTTCTTTGCCGTATGATTCGAGAAAAAGGTGTGGAAACTGCCACGTATTATTTGCACAATTATCCGGCTATTTTTTGCGTTAAAGGTCGTAAGATTTGTTAACTTCTGATCACATTTTTTTAATTCTTAATTTCTTTAAATTTATAGTTGATAATTATTTCTTTGGTTTAAAATATACTTTTATGTGATTCTTTTTTTTTTCAATGAATTTGCGTTCAAAAATATTATATGCAAATTTTTTTGCATGGTTTTTAAAGACGAATCAAGCAATCTGGTGATGAGATTAGTATGCAAAATGGATTTTATTTCCATTCTTGTAAATTGTTAAGTTACATTTGATTAATCTCGAGTTTCACTTTCATTTTCTCTTTATTTTTTTATCAATATTTTATTTTATTATTATTTATTTACTATTATTTTCAGCTTTGGAACGGAAATATAATGATGTTGATTCTGCGAGTATATTTAATTTGATACTACAACAGAATTCACCGGATTTCGAAAATGAAGCATTCGTTGATAAGCTAGTTGATTTGGGTATCATCCAAGACAATTCTAATTTTTTGATTGGCACAATTGAAAAGGAACTTGCGAAGTATGTAATAGTTTCAGCTTCCTAAATATTTACTTTCTTTTTTTATGATGAGATTATTTTCCATTTGAAAATTTGGCAAATTTTTAGAAATGGTTTCGATTCGGCTTTAAAACTTCTGGTCGCATACTCTTGTAAGTATCGCAAAATATTGGGAGAGAATGTTCTTATCGGTTTTATTTTACGCGACAAGAAAACGCCCATAAAGACTTCTCAGTCTCGTCTTAGTATAATTTTAATCAAATTTCGTTACTCATTGACTTTTAATACGCAATACTACTACTTTTATGAATTGTTTCTGCCATTGTTTTTCCACTTTTTTTGTATTTATAATTCATTTTCCGGATTTTTTAAAATTCATTAATATTGCAAGCAATGTTTAAGGAGCTATTCTTAATGCTTGTGAAAGTCTAAATCATCCTTTTGCTGCCGTAGCAGAACTTATTATACAATTGATTATGGTTGATATGATGAATGATGCCATTATTCTGCTAAGCCACGTTGGTCTTTTTGATTTTTTCAGTTTTTATTGGAACATTTCTTTATCCCATTCATAAAATTTCCTGTTAAAATTATAAAATAAGTTAATGTTTCTTTATTTGCATGATTAAATGTTTTCAGCTGTCAGTATTGGGGTATCACTTTCGAGCACCACTGAAACGGCTTGCTTTGAATGAGGTTTTTTTCTTGTTCAGCTTTTTTTTGGACATATTTTCGAACAAGATGTAGTAAACCATTCAGTTGGTTTTCAGGCAAATATCATTTATGTAGAACGCTTAGCTGAATTAATTTCAAATTGCGTTTTGGTTGAAACGCAGAAAAATGCTGGAGAGAATGTTGAATTTCAGAATAAAACCATTTCCAATAGCGAGAAAAAGAAAGTTGTATCATCAGAGGTAGTTAATACAACATTTAATATATTTGTTTATTTTTATGATTTTCTTTAAAAAACTTTCGATTCATGAATCACAAGAAAATGTAAATTCTCGTTTTCAGGGCATAATCGACCAGAGTTTCATTGGTTTTCTTATTTCTCCTTGGCGCTGTAAAAAGCGAAATAATTTATCCCGCACCAAATCGAAAAAGAAATATAAAATTGATGCCGAAAAATTAGATATCCTCGTAAATCTTCTTCAGCGTGCTTGGGTCGATTTAGCAGGTATATTTCATTTTAACATGCTATAGGAATCATTTTGCTGCTGGTTATCTCATGGCCTTTCAAACATGATCAACGTTTTATACAAAATCAATTATAGCCAGTTAGTGGTGCATCTTTTTTTGTAGGGAGAACCAAGGATATTGATTCGTTAAATCGGCTTCACAAATGGTGTTCTTTGCATGGATTGAAACTCGACGAAAAATTGGAAAAAAAGTGTACTTTAATTTATCAATCCGTTGGTGAAAAATCACCTTTCAATACTGACAACAGACCTTAGTTAATTTGTGTTAATTCACTTTTTATAATATTGAAATATTTTTGTTATGTTTACTGTTATTTGTTGTCCTTTCATGTTTTTCATAATTTGTTATAAACTCAGTAACGTTTAATCTAATGATTATTTTTAATTTAATTTCATTTTTGATCAAAAACATGGTATGAAGCATTCTTAATTTTTTTTGTATATTGTATTAACGTTTCTGCTATGCCACAAAGTATTTAGGTGTAGTCAAATTTTTGTTGAGCAATTTTTGATTTTTGTTGTTCTCTTTAATTTTAATTATAATCAGGTTTATTTCTCTGGTTTAGTTCTATTTTTTTGATTCGATTTGCAGTAATACTGGATAGATTTTTATTCAATTCAATGTTTGCTCAATACAATACGAGATAATCTAAATTCACGATATCCAACATTTATTGAATCTTATGAAATGCGAGCACAGTAAATTACTGCTTAAGTGGTGTTTTCTAGAATCAAATTTCGCTTTCTTTTACAAAATTGAATTTGTGATAGACTGTGCTTTTTTGAATTAGTCTTATTGACTAGGAAATGAATGAGTTTAAGTTGTGCTTTGTTGGAAGCAAATATTCGGTAGACTTGAATGCCTTACCTGACGTTGTTTATAATAAATTTTTTTCTCGTTAGATGTTTTTTTTGCGCTTGGAAGATGTGGTAGATAATTTAATGAAAAGCCAGTTGATTTATTTACGTTAAATGACATTTCGGCTTTTTTTCATCAAAATTAATCTTTTAAAATTTCCTGTACTCATTTGGTTTTGTTGACAATAATGTGAAGGAAAGTAACGTTATGAAATTGCTCTATTAGATGTTGTTATATCTGTTTTTCCATGCATCCTCGATATTCGATCAGATCTCTTTCGATTTTACTAAATGCACGTTTAAGCGTCGTCATGAATTTAAAACGGTGAACGAATGTTTAATAAGCAAATTTTTTGTTCATTTGTTGAAATATTGCCTTGTTTTGCTGTTATAAACCATCGTTTTTCTTTTTTACATTAGATGTGATAAGATAATGACGGATTTGTGATATTATATGCAGTAATTATATTGTTAAACGAATAATAGTTCGCTACGAATTGTAAGTCGATTAGTTGGATAAACCCTCGGCCGAGACGAAATTTTGGACGAAAGATTTATTAAGTGAGTGTCTCGTGTGTCATCTAAGTTTTTTTGATGGCATATTCGCTCCTCATATCATCAGCTGAACATCACTGTAGAAATATTATTCTAAGCAATATTACTTCATACACTTTTCTTATTGCAGTAAAATGGGTGAAAAGCTCGTCATTTCATTTACCGTTATTTCTCGGTCGATATTTTTCTATTAAAACGAAAAATACATAAACGTATTTCATTCGACTGGCCAGGATTTATTTATAAATCTAAGATGGTATAAAATTTTTTTGTTTTTTCAGGATGTTCTCAGGGAATTTTTGCTTTCTCTTTTTGCCGCTCTTAGAATTCAATTTTGTGCCTTTGTCGGCTTACACTCACTGGATGGTAACTCACGATGGGCTCACTATTGAGGCAGTTGTAAGTTTTTACTAATTTTTCGTAATCTTTTCGGCCAAGTAATTGACATTTATTTTCTCTTCTGTTACATTTTCTTTTTTACTTACGTCAATTATATAATAAAATTTTCAAAAACTACAAGAAGCTGTATGAAAAAAATTTTTTTTTCATAGTCAGATTCGCCCTATCATATGGCGCAACCACATTCATTGGTGCAATTTTTGGATCAAGAACGTAAACTGGACATAGTTTCGAGCAGTCGGCGCACTTTTTCCGAGCAAGAGGTAAGGATCTAGGAATTTATTTTTTTTAACGTTTAATCTTTATTTGATTGCTCAGATTGCATCGTAGAATTGACGCTCTTTTCAGAAATTAATCCATGCACAAGAGAAAGCTGACGATCCATACATAGAAAATGAAATTCGTGCAAGTGATCCAGACTGTATCCGTGCTGGAAACCCCATATATGAAAAAGACACGGTTTACGCAGCGTATTCTCTTGGTCATCCACTACATGAGTTGGTCATTCAGTTTAGTAAAGTTCAAAAGAAATTTCGATTATCCAGCAGTAGTTGAGAAATTTGTTAAAGATCCTTTTTTAATTGCGAAAATATTGTAAAAATTAACATAAAGCTGAAGAAGTTATATATTTTCGTACTTCTAGCATAGAACACATAATGGAAATAGTTACGAATGCAACTGACGTTAGAATTAAGGAAGTACCTTTGTGCGATTCTGAATTGCATTTCAGCATGTATGCATTTGAACATTTAATGGTATAAATTTCTTGAAACTTGGATAAATTACCAGTTTTGCAGACAAAAAAGAAAAAACTGGATGAATTTTTTGCAGTTTTTTTGTTTAATTAAGCCAATTGTTGGAAATCAGATGAGAATCTTTTAATTTCCAATGAAGCTAATGTTTTAAAATTCTTAGTTAGCTGGTTAATAAAATCTTTTTTAGTCGATGCAGCAACGTAACAGCCTTAAAATCTTGCCTGAGAGTGAACTTGAGGAATTAATTTCTTCTTATTTTCGTATTAGTGACTTTGCTCACTTTATTGCTATTTCGCTTAAATCGGTATATTGACTTGTATATTTATTTTTATAAATATTTGAAATATTTGGTCAGTTCAATAATAGAAAGGTTATCAGCTGTTACTGATAAACTGTTTTAGATGCTGTGGCAGAGAATGTCGATAAATATTTCATCCTTGAGATAAAATATTAGAAATAGAATTGTTAGCTTTTGAATTATGCAAATGCCAATAACAAATTGATTCTATTTCATTTGATTATTTTTAATTAAATGTGTGTTTTTCAAGGTATTTTCATGTTCACTTTTTGCAGGAACCAACGAATGTTTCCTTTCTTGGTTTAGCGTCAATGTTTTGGCGAATAAGCGGTAATGGCTTGAATGCTATAGAATGCCTTAGACGAGCTCTTCATTATTCATCAATGTAAGTCATGGTTTGCTAATTTATGTTAATTTATGTTTGCTAATTTTTTCTTACTTTAAGACAGTATCTGTTCATCAAGACTTTGGAAAAATGACCTTATTCGTTCTTGTCAAATATCCATCCTAAATAAAAATATTTGTTTTTTTTAGGATTCAAAACTCAAATTTTTTTTAATTTAAATTTAATTTGGTATAAATTTTGTTTGTTTTATTCAAATCCTCAGGTCAAAGAAAAAATATGGAGAACTAGTCTTTGCACTAGGAAATGTTGTCCATCGAGCTGGATTCTCTTCGGACGCGATTACTCTTTATCAGGTTCTCAACTTTTTTCATTTTATTCTGCAAATTAGAGGAAAATATTTGAAAGAATTTGTAATATATATTTTGAATTGAATTGATTCGTAATATATAATATAATTTATAAGAATGCCTAAAATGGTTCAGTAGGTCGTTCTCATTCGAAAGCGCCGATGTTAGGATTCCACTCCAGATAGGAGTAAACCTGTCGAAAATCCGGACTGCTGGCCGCCCATTGTTTCTATTCTATGGTTTGATGAGCTAAAAAAAATGAACCTAACCAAAAATGGTGAGAAAAATTCTTGGGAAGAATAAGGAATGCCGCTAATAATAATGCCATTTTCGTTTAAGCTATCATTGGCTCATTTAAATGATGGGATAGTTCATATGGCTTTGGGAGATGCTTTTGCTGCACTTGGTAACATAACAGAAGCTATTATGGAATACGAGCTAGCGCAGATGAGCAAACCTGAAATACCTCAAGCTGCCGTTAAGGTTTTCATTCTTTTGATTAATTTTTTGAATTTTTTTATAAATTTATTACTCAAAATTTGCCTTTAAATTTGCTTTGTCGAAAATAATGATTCTAAAGTTTATAGGCTTCATCTTTGAAATGCGATTTGAAGCTGATTGATGCTATGGAAAAGCAACATATGAATTTACTTAATAATATTAATGAAAAAAATTTGTACAATGACCGGTGAGTATTATTCCAAAAAGAAATATATCGTATATGTGGCTATATAGAAACAAAGAAAAAATCAGTTATTCATTTTCATAATCATTTTATCTAATTATTTTATGGCAACATTTGATGCAGATAATTTAATCAAATAATTTGGTTAATTTGCTATCTAAATTAATGCTATTGAAATTTCCTTAATATTGTCTTCTAGATTGGATTATGTGAATAAAATCGAAGAAAGTATCCGAAAGAGTGTTGCTGATGACGAGACAAAGAAGCAGTCATTATTAATTTACAGTTATTTTACTTATGGAAATCTTCCCTGTAATTTTTTCTCTTCTGTATTCTGCATATTTATTTTTCGCAAAAAATGCCCTTAAGCGACTTTTAAATTTCAATTGAGATGCTCAGAAAAATGACAGGATTTTAAAATTATTATCTTTCTTCTATGCGGTACTCAATTTTTTTTTTGCTTTATAAAAGCATGTCCATTGAAATCATAGATTCGTCTTGTCGAATGATGAAACGTAAAGGTCGACTTGGAACTCATTGCTCTGTAAATGATTTGAATCGTTATCTATCTCTGATTCGCGGGAAAGAACAAAGTACTCCAGTTCGTGCATATAGTGAGTTGACACGAGTTAGTCGATCTCTTCTGTTAGAAATTTTGAAAATTTTCGTGAGGAACTGTAAAGATTCCTTTGAATTTGACAACATTGGAAGTATTTCTTTGATTAAATTTTTTAGAAAAGTAAAAAAGAATTTCAGATTGGCAGTTCTGAAAAATCAGAAGCAATTTCGAAGCGTATTAAGAACTTTTTCGATGGTCTCGAAGCCATGCGAGGTATAAATTTGGATGAACCTGTCGATAAACCGAAGTATCCTCGAAAAATGTTAGTTTTATTGGATTATCATCGGTGGAAGGTAATGGGAAATGAAAAAATGAAGCGAATGGTTTGAGAGCTAGGAAGGAATTTTTTTTAACATTTGTCATTATTTTGTGGTTATACTTGGAAGCGATCACCAAAAAAACCTTCGATTTTAAAATATATTTATCTAATTTAATGTATTAATATATACTATGTTCTCTGCCACTGTTTCTTTATTGAGTTATGTAGAACATTTAAATTTTTTCAAAGGTATTCCACATGTCTTTTAAATTTTCTAGTGGATTTCCTCTTGATGAGTTTTTTCAGATTTGTAATTGTATCGAAAATTTATCAGGCTAAAGTGGATTTTTTTTTCCTTTGCTTCATTTTTTTCTATTTTCCTTATGGAACTTTAATCGTTTTCTTTCCTGCGTAACCTTCTTAAATGTATATCTTGCGAGTTAAAATGATGTCTGGCAACGAAGCGCTTTATTTCTTCATCATTTTATTATCATAAAAATTGGAGATTAGAGATATCAAGATGAAAATATTCAGTTTTTGCAATCTTGAGGTAGAAAAAATGAAAAAAAGTACCAATCAGTTTAAATAAGTTTGGCCTAAAAAATCAGCTTTTAGTTGTATTTATTGATGAAGTATCTTAAAGGTGAAATAAGAGAATAATAAAGAATAATTCACGATCGCATTCAGGGAACTTTCAATGAGTAAACTAGTGGATCATTATTTGAGAAGCAGTTGGCCCAATAAAACGATTTGTGACACCAGCCAGTGGAAATACACGATTCCATCATTAAACAATCTGCCTCAACTTTTCATGAGTCCTGATAATAAAGGATTCAGGTAATTATTTATTTTTCGATTTAAAGAGAAATCTTAATTTATCTATTTCAGCTAATTAACATAATGATCCCTTTTGCCTTTATTCCTTTATTTGCAGAGTTTCAGATTTGCTTGGGAAATATTTAGGACTTTCTTCTGGAATGGAGCATCCATTGCCATGGAATCTTCCATATTGTAGTGCTTTTTTAGATGGTCCAAGTCTTTCACCTATTTTGAAAGTTAATACTTTGAAGTTTTATTTTTATTGAAATTTAAAAAATTGGATTGAATAGTCGCATTACTTTTGATTGACTGTAAGTTGATGCAGTGAATATCTATTAATGGTTGACTATAATTTAGTAATTTTTTCGTATTCGAAAGATCTAAAATAATGAAGTAAGTATTGGTATTGAACCAAAAATGGAATTAAAAATTTTGAAATGATCCTTTGAGCACATTTTGATTTTTGGTTTTTAAGGTCATTTTTATTTTTATCAAAGAAAGCAAATAAGTAGTTAGCACTTACCATTTCTGGTTCGATTTGTTCCTATTCCTGCTGGCCAGAAATCTTGGCGGTAGAGTTATAAGTGGATCACCAGAACAATGCAAATTTTTTAATGATGTGTAAGGCTGGATGTTTTTTTGCGATTCGACACGATAATCTAGGTATTAGTGGGATGTAAATCAATAACTTTTCATATAATGTTTTTTCTACTCTAATAAATTTTTAAAAATTTTAAGGATTTAAGAGTTTTTTAGAATGTAATTTCTTGTTCTCAAATTATGTTTTTTTTACAGTTGCCTGGTGTTTTGTGGGCGTCGTCACGTAATCCTTCATTAAAGTTGGGTGAAAATAGGCTTTTGCCTTTATTTACTAATCTTGTTGTTGGTGGAGCCACGGATGCAGATATTGCTCAGCGCATCACTACTTTGTTGAATTATGTACGTTTTTAAATTTCCATCATATATTTTCGTTTTTTAATCTTATTTTCATAATAAAAAAGTGGTAGAATAATGAGAATATTTTTAGAATATTGGGCCTAAATGGATCGCATTAAATTTAGCTGCTCTTTTTTGGCGTATCATTGGCTCACCACGTGAAGCCATCATATGTCTTCGTGCTGCTCTTCTTTCTAACGTCGGTTTCTTGCTAATTTGTTTTTTATTTTGATTCTTTTGCATACTCTTTCTTTGCATTATTTTTAAATTTAAATTTTTAGCCGAATCGATATTCGGATATCACTTTAACTCAACTTGCACAAATTCTAGTGCGTTATGCAAATAGTGAGATGCACTTGGTTGATGCGGCTGCTCTTCTTAATTCAGCTATAGCTGTTAATCCTAACGAGGTAATAATTGTCTAAATTTCGTTTTTACCTCATGGGCAGGCATTCTTTGGTTAATCTTTTTTTTTGCTGTTTTTATTTTTCATTTATTGTTTTCATAGCCACGATTTTCAGCCTTTAACACATTACTTAGCTGCTGTCGTATCTTTATTAAGAAATAAACCTGTTTCTGCTATTGCTTATGCTAAAGCTGCAGTTGTTGTTGATCCAAACTTTCAGCCAGCTGTATTGCTTCTACAGTCGCTCAAATGTTCAAATAAGGTTTCATTTATTTTGATATGGTTTGCATTCTATTGATGTTTCTTGTTGATATTTCGTTAAAATTTAACATTTCTCTTCCTCATTCGTTTTGTTTCGTTAAGACTTTTAGGCGTATAAACATATTGTTGGAACCGGTGACTAGTCTTTCTTTACCCTTGTTCAACCCATTTGCAATCCTCGTTTGAACGATTCTACGAACGATTTTTTTCAAATATATGTCTATTAATATCTATTAATTCATATTTTACATTGTTCTTTACTTATTATATTAATTATATTACAGTATAAAAATGTCATAATTCATGAACGATTTCAACGTCGTTGTTGCGCACCATCACAAGATGCAGTTTGTGCATTTGGTGATGGTGATGTGGTTTGTTTTATTTCACATGGTAAGAATACATACGAGGCTATAAACTGTGGTGGAAACATTGATTTATCAAAGCGATCGAAAAGAGTTTGTGAAACATTTTTATTATTTGTGATTTAATTTACCTAAACATTTCTTTGTCTTTTAAGCAATTTCCATCTCTAGTTTGGCTAGCTGTGCTGGTTTGCTAGATGAGATCTCTTCGTGAAAAAGTTTCTTGAGGATAGGAGTACAAATGGGTTTCCATTCAAGAATCATAAACCATTAGTAATTGATTTCAGTCAAAGCAGTTTACCACTAGCCCATCCTGCTCTTTACCTAAAGTTTTATTTACTCTAGATAATATCTTCCGATTAATGTTATTTTATTTAGAAGATTACCAAAGGTGTTGTGAATTTGATGGGCTATTTTCCTTTCTTTCAATTTTCAAGCTCATTATAAAATCTTCTGATTTTTAATAAATGATTTTTAAAATTTTAGTGTTCTTTCGGGTTGAAATCCATTATATTGTGGCATATTATTACTTCTGGTTATATAAGTCACATAAAAATTAACGGTTTGTCTTATTTTTGATCATTTTAAGATACATCCTCTTATTTTTTCTCTTCGTTCTATTATAAAAATCCAAATTTAAGTAGTCCATAAATTTTTCCTTCTTTTTTCATTATTTCATTATCTCTTAAACCAACGCCATTTGAATTGAATTTATGTAGTATTTATCGTAGTTTTAATCTGCCTAATTTTGGCCGTCATAGCATAGCATCTATTTCTTCAATCGTTTTTCTTTTCAAGCTTCTAAAGTCCACATAAACTGGAATACAGACCATCAAGCAGCGACATCTGTTGGTGATTTCGATTCAGTGGATGAGGTTTGTTTTGTTAATGAAAACTATTGATACTGTCGACTTTGCTGGCATTTTTTGGTTGTTTGATATCATCTTCAGATTCCATTGGACTATGGGAGTGATGCAAGTTTGAGAAAGATCCGTGAATTTCACTCTGCTCCCAACTTTTCGCTTGGCGAAATTGAGGTAAACTATTTGAAAAGATTCATTTAAATATTCTTATTTAACTGGAACGTAAATTAAGGTTCTATATAGCTATGCAGCAGCAGAAACAAAAAGCGATCATGATGAGGTATGGAATGAGATGGTTTTGGTTCCGATTATTCCATTTCCCAAGGTATTCCTTTTTTCTGTTTGAACTTTTTTCCGTGAATGGAGAATTCCGGGTCCTTAATCCATCTCAAAATATCTATGAAAATTTCGAAGCCTTTTTTTATTTGAGCGTGTTTTTATTGGTTATATTATTGCCATTATTGACCGAGATTTAAAAGTATATTTGTACATTGCGTCCTTTTTTAGTCAATTTCCATTACAGTTTTATAACAACATTATTAAATTATGTGAAGTTTTCATTCAGCTTATTATTTTCACGAATTACTATTTTTAGACTCGGTTATCAATCAGTTCATTTCCCGATCGCAAAAAGATGTTATTATTCGATACAAATATTCCAGATGTGAGTAAGCCTGTTGCTTTTGGATATAACATATACAATATATTTAAAAAATGTCTTTTCATCTCTCGTGGATGATAAGGATCATTCTCATCTTGAGTTCTTCTAACAGAAGCCTAGGAAACTGAGGATTCTGCGCGTCTTATGGCCCTTTTAGCAGTGCGCTATTCTGTATAGATCTGATGTTCTTGAAATGTATTGAAGCCACTTTTAGGATTACAGTTCCAGTGTTCCAGTTAACACTGAGACTACTCTGGCTTTCCACATCTTAAAGGTGCAGATTATTATGCAAAATGCTCCAGTCCAACACATAGTGGCAGGATGTAAAATGCAAATACAAACAGTATATACTGAAAGATAGAACCAAATAGCTGGCATCATCTACAGGAATATCTATCTGTTCAATATATGGCTTAGATCCACCCAAACTTGATGAGAGATTCTTCAGAAAATTTCGGAGAATAATAATATGGCAAAATTCCTGTGATGTTTCTCCACCCAGACAGACAAATACTTAATGGCCAATCAACCAGGTATCGTGGTAATAGACAAAAGTCAGAAATCAGCACTGGTGATAGATGGTGACAATACCAAGTGAACGTTAGAAAGAATGAGAAAGAAATAACAGAGGCCGAAGGAAAGTAGACCCAGTGATAATTGGAGCACTTGGAACACTGAACTAAAAAAGTGGTTTCAGCAGATTCCAAGAATAACATCTGAGATTTTCATCAGGAACAGCTCACTGGTAGCAAAGATAATGCGCAAAATTCTCTCAGGCCTCTGGTGGAGAATCTGATGTTGAGGGTGTCTATTACTATCCACAGAGGGTGAGGAAAAATTTTTTTTCATCAAAAATTTTTTAATTTTTGCATACCATTTTTAAATTATTTGGAAAGTTTGATTGGTGAAAATCTTGATTCTTCAGTTTTTTTTATCGAATAGTATTCAACGCTATATATTTGGGCTGTAAAAAACTTTTTTCACTGAAAGTTGTCGAGAGGATATCGTGAGGATATATTTATTCATTTTGTTGCAGGTATTACCATTACCGCATAGGCATCAAGTAAAAAATGGGTATCAATATCTTCCTTTGCCTAAAGGCAGTGACAAAAAATTTTGTGCTGGTGCTAAGATGGTATTATTTCAATATTTTGTGTTTTTTCAATATTTCATTATTATTTTCATTATTTCAATATTTTGTGTAATATAATTTAATGAAAATTTCGTGTCCATTTGATTCAAGATTCCAGTGTAGATCAAGCTTCAATTGTTGGCTTCGTTCTTTGTCTTGTTCGGCCATTTGCAATACTAATATCCAATATAGCGCCATTTAAAAAGTTTTCATAGTGCAGAGGAGACTGTGGTAGGGTTTAGTAATTTTGTTATTTTTATAGAGTATTCAATTACTGCAAGATCAGACAGTTTCCACTTGGGTTTCGGTAACAGCAAAAGGTGTCAATTTTGAAGAGTTTATGGATATGAAGTCTGAAGTATCTCATGTCGCGAATGCTGAACCTGTTTGTCCTGATCTTAAGCATTCGTCACTCGTTACTCTAGATCATCTACCTGCTTATCGCTTGCATGATCAGTTCATTTTTTATAAGCCAGAGAAAGCTCTTACAGATGTAAGTTTGTTTTAATCGTATTGGGAATTTTTCTACGTTAATTTTCTCAGAAAGGATATTTAGATTAATTTCAATCGATTTTACTATTTTTCAAATGCATTTTAAAACTATAACTATAAAACTACAGGTTTTCATGTTAGTTATTAGTGGAAATAACTCATATTTTCTAAATAATAATTATTTCAAAATTATTTCTTCAGCCTTATGATTCTTTCTTATAATATTATTATCATGGTTCCAAGCTTAAAATTATTTCCAATATTTCTATGTGTTTACTGTTGTTTGACCTGCTTGATATATTTTTTATCATTATAGAAAAAATTGAAAAAAAGGACCTTGGGATTGCTGGCAAATTCTTATTATTTTATTCAGGACCACTCTTTGTCATTTTACACCTTGCCAAAAGGTAGATGAGAAATCTATTTTAATTAAATAACTTTTATAAAATAATTTGACAATTTTTCATCCAAAAACTTTACTTTTTAGGCATTTCAAGGATTAGGAAATGGACGTGAACGAATGGAACAGGTCGCTAGTCGCATTGCTAATGCAATGAGTCCATCGAAAAAGAATCGATCACTAAAAAGTTGGGTTTTTATAAAATTCGTTTCTTCTGAAACTACCTTCTTGTTTTAATTATAATTATAAATTATAAATATTTATTTATTTTAACAAAATTGATATTATATCTCTAAATTTTTATTTTAAAAACACCTATTTATATTTAACATATTTACTGTAATTTTTCTTATAAATTTAAGATATTTCTTCATCAGATACAAATATACATTGGACTTTATCAACTGCTTCAACTTTATATTGGCGAGTGAAGGGAGATGCGGTAAACGCCATCAAATGCCTTAGGCACTCACTGAACAATTCACCAGCAGATATGAAAGTATGTTATATAGCATTTTTATTCACTGACGTCGTATATAGTGTTTTTTCTTTTGTCTTTTCTAAAATTTCATTGTTTTTTTGTTTCTTGTCTTTATAGATAAAATATATTTTTTGTCAATGAGGAAGATGATATTAGAACAAGTTTTCATTTTGCAGATTTTCTAATCAGATCTATGCTTGCGCGTATGGCTCTGAAAATAGTGGAAATTATTGCATTAAATGTTTATTATTTATGGGTTTTCCCTTTTCAGTTTTTTTTATGAAATAATGAAATACTTTATCTTTTTATGAGCTTACTGTAGTGGCCGTTGCGGATATTGTTTTTTCAGGACATTTCTTTATTAAGTATGGCGAATATTTATCACCAAGCAGGCTTTCTACATAGTGCTCTAATCGCTTGTGGCAGCGCACTTGGAATATCACCCAATCTTGTGGCAATTCACTTTACATTAGCAAATATATATTCATCGATGGTTAGTTATATTGAGAAAATGTCACCGATTTACTTTTGAAGTTTAATTTAATTGTTTTTCTTAAACCCTTCATATAATGACTGACACGTTGCAAATGAATTGAAAATGAATTAATTAATTTAACTTTTATTTTTTTTTAGTTTATCAGAGATCTCTTAATTGTTTCACCTAATCATTGAGCATTAGATGCATTTTATCAGAATTTTTTAATAGAAGTTCGGATTTTATTTTCGTGATTTTATTTTGAATTTAAATTTAATTCTTTAGTTTTTTAAATTTTTATGAGAAATGAAATCTTTTAGAATTTTCTATAATTAAAATTTGATTGCTTTTTCTGATTATCTTTGAATTTATTTAATACCTATCGTAAAAATTTGAAAATAATAAAATTGAAAATTTGAATACCCTTTGATATTTTCCTTTCCCTCACCCATTAACTCACGTTTCAGTTTTTCTATTATTAGAATTATTAAGTTTTAACCCTTCGAGAAAGTGATTTGTTTGGCTGGATAAACCAGGATGATTATCAAAAATTTTACAGGCAGATTACAACAATGCTCTGCAGTTTTATTATTCGACCCTTTCACTTCAGTCGAATTTCGAACCAGCTAAGGAACGAATTCGCATAATATATTGCAATTCTGGGCAATCAGTGAATCTTAGAAATCGTTTTGAGGTTTTGTAAATTATTTTTATTAACTTATATTTTGCAAATATTATGTTGTATCATTTATTAACTAATCATAATTTATTTACCACTAATTACTCAATTAAGCTTCTTGCCAAACTTAATAGATTAGTTTAAATTTCTACTGAGTAACAAATTCATATTTTAAATGGCTTCAATTTTATTACATTATGGCACTTGTATTTATTTGAAACGTATTTTTGATCTTAAATTTATTAGTTACAAGTCGCATTTAAGCTTTCTTTCTTCATCTATAGAAAGTTATAACGAAATATTTTTCAACATTTTCGAAATGGTCGAGAAAGTTAAAGGTTGCAGCTTTCTTGAAGTCTATCCTAAAAGCATTCATAGGGAGTTTGTGGAAATTTTTGTACTTTTTCTTTATTTCGTTTTGATCTTGTCAAATGTTCACTTATTATTTCATCAAATCATCACTTATTTATTTCGATTACATCTATAGAAAATTTATTTTTGCTTTTTTTTAGAATAATTTTATATAAATTATTGTAACAAATCATGTAATTTTTTTCACTTCTGATGATGAAAATAAAATATCTAAAAAGAAAATTTTGGAGAATATAAATATCTTATTTGATTTTGGATTTTGCATCTTTATTATTAATTTTTATTAATAAAGAATTTTAAATTAGAATAATAATTTACGAATGAAATAATAAGCGAAAAATATGGATGAATATGCATTTAATAACAATCTGGCAAAAATCTTGCAAACAAATCGTGTTTTGCAATTTGTTATTAAATGTTTCTATGAATCTTTCTTTCCACATTCGAAAGTATTATAATATTTTACTTTCGCTGTTATATGTAAATAAGAATTTGATTGAAATAAGTGTGGGAATGATTGCGATTGATTCGAAATGAACTACGAGAGAGAATTTATAAATTTTATAACAAATTAAATAACTGCTAATTTAATGAATGTTTTTGCGTAAAGTTGGTGAAATTTTCACAAATTTTGACTTATTTTTTTTTTATTTCATGATTATTAAGAATTTTTTATTTTATGATTATTAAGAATTAATTTATTAAAAAATAAGAATTTTAGATGAATTAATTAACGATCAATAAATTGCATAAAATTACAATAAACAATTAAAGAATATTTAATAAATTGGAGAGTTTGATTTTTAAATTTTCTTGTTATAGGCATTTATTTCAATTTTGCAATCCATTTTTTCTATTTTCGAATTGAAAACAAAAATTAAAGGAAAAAACTACAGAGCAACGAATTATTATAGCAATAAAGGAGAGGCGACAAGAAATTTGAATTCTCGCAGTTCAGAATTTTCACAATTACATCGGTCTGCACTCTTAAAGCTCAAAATTTGCAATTGTTTTGAGCCCTAATTTCGTTATTCAATTTAATTTATTATTTAATTTAATTTACAACATTTCCGATTCGCTTTATTCCCTATTTATTTGATATACTTATTTATTATATGTTAATTAAAAACTAATTCTTATTGAGTCGAATTCGCTGCTTCTAAGGTTCTTCAATCTTTATCGCTATTCTCGAACGGTTGTCTCTGGAAAGAGAATCTTAAACTAAAATATTTCTCGCCGTTTGAAGAAAGAGAATGAGAAATTTTCCTTTATCACTGCTTTATCGTCCACTTAGGTTATCACAGAAACTGTAAGCGTAACACTTCCATCGTTTCATTTGGCTTATCACAAGTTATCATAGAAGTTATCATAGCGCATAATTCGTTACGGTGTTCTTTTCGTTTTATTTTTGCGAATAAGACTTACTACTGTATATTTCTGCATCGTACTGTTTTTTTTTTCGGATCAACCATTACCAAATTTAATTTTCTAAAAAAATTTAGTCAAGTTTTTATTTTTATATTTTATAAAATTTTTCTACGTACTACTTCACGTGTCATTTTTTAATTTACGAACTATATTATATTAAATATTATATTATTAAATAAGAAATAATTCATTATTCTGCATTTCTCAGCATTTCTGGTTAGGTTAACTCTACTCTTAGTGCACTCAGAACTTTATTTTTAGTCGCCAGGCGAGAGAATACGTGAGTGGCCAGTATATCTCCCCTACCTCCTATCGGCGGCTGGATCCGAGTCTTTGCGTTCGAATCGCGATTATCTGATCAAGCACGATCCATTTGGCTATCTCGCATCCCCACTGACAATCAAATTTATTTTTCATTTAAATATTTTAAGGCCACTATCAGACATAACATCAGTTTCAAATTAGAGTTAAAAATAAATTTTAATTTGCTTAGTTGATTTTAAAAAATGAATACTACTTAATTTTATTAGTTGCTCTTGTTTCCCATAATGGAAGTAAATTATTCACGAATTCCTCATCGTATAATAACGCTTTGCATGACTTGCTGATTTTGATGACAAAAAAAATTAATTCTTTTAATTTGCGTTTTATAATTTTCAAGTTTTATTTATCTGTTTATATTAAATACCAATCAGTCTGATATCGTTTTCTTATCAATAATCTATCAAATATTTTTAATTTAAAAATTTCTTCAAAAGAATGAGATTTTTTCACTTCAAAATTTTCTCCGATAGAGTCGGATTCGGCATTTCGTTTTTAATGACTTCTTTAATGACAGATTGCCTTCGACTTTCAACTTTTGGTAATCATAATTCTTTATTTTTATTTAAATTTGCACTACAAAATTATGAATAATTTAGAGATTCTTATCTGTTAGAGTCTCTGTTACACTCTATCAGTATTCATTAAACAAATGCATTTGAGATCAAATTTTTCCTCAGTTTATTCAGCTTTTTCCAAATGTTATCGACATTGAGATATGCATTTCATCCATATTGATTAACTTCACATCTTCGAAATGCTTAGATGGATAATTGCAATGGTGGTCGAATGCTATAGGAATTAATAAGTTATAGGCTGCTGATCGATTTTCGCTAGGTTAATGATGGATTTTAGGATATAGAAATTATAGTCACATATGAATATAAAAATTTATGATATAAATTATAATATATAAATTTTTTGCTTATTAAAATATTTCATAATTTATATTGATCCGCTTGTCCACAAAATATAATGCAGTATAATTCCGGGATTAGCACAAAAAATGAGTTTAGCATATCGACGAACAGATTTAACACATATGCTTCCAATGTATTCGATTGACTTGTGACACTATAAATTCTTTATAAATTATGCCACAAAATTAAAAAATTCTTTTTTTAATTTATTGGCTTTTTTAAGAATTCATTTTGAATTCAAAAATCCCAACAGTGAAAAATTAAATTTCATCTTTAAGGAATTCGTCTTTTTCACCTATTTGTCGATTGATAACGAGGACGAGGCAGTTAAGCGAGTTTTAGACGGATGTGAGCCAATTACCATCGATTCTCACAATTCTCCTGAAGGATCAATCATTGCTGAATCTGTTGGCTTTATTCGAAAGATGAAGTGAAACTTTTTCGCCAGATAGTCGTTTGGGGAGAGAAGTGCGAGTGGATCCACGATAAGTTTCTTCTTCCGATATCAAGAAAGAAAAGAACTAACTTGTGAGAAACAAAGAACTTGTGACAGTTGGCCTTGGTTGAAGCATATATCTACCATTCGATCAACCGTCACTTTTTGGCTTTTGGTGTGCTACTACCAAATTTTATCGAATACGCTGAAAAGAATTTTCTAAAATAGAAAATAATTTGAAAATCTAAAGAAAAGATAACGAACATATTATTATCTGAATAGCACTGTCCAATGATTTTTTCAGTCGTTTTTTCTTAAATGGCGATAGCCCGTCCTCATTTCTCGATTGAGAATGTTCAGTCATAATGTTAGATCCAAGCTGTATGCATTTCACTATTCCTCACAGAACATTTAGATTATGTTTCTGTTGATAAGATGATAAGCTGATGAAGGTGACGACATATATCACAAGCCTTTTTTTTACGTTATAGGGCTTGTTCTTTGCAAAAAACAAATTTATATTAACTACATTAATTTGTTAAAATAACTTTGAATTCGATTCAGTTCCTTCGGTTTGTTAGGATTTGCGATATATCTTATCATTGTATTTCACTAAGCTTAAGTATACCTTATTATTATTTAGAGCTATGCGAAACGTTCGTTAAAAAAAATCGAAAAATTATACCGAAAAATAATTTTTGAAATAATTTTTACGAAGCGTTTGCTAGGAAATCGATTTTAATTTTTTGTTTAATTAAAAGAAAAGAATGAATAAAACGGTTCTTTGTTTTGTTGCGGTAATTTTACTCGGATATTATTCCGATGAAAGTTTTTCTGCAAATAAATTTTTTTTTGAATGAAAGCTCAAAAAAAGAACTATAAAACAATGTAAAAAAAATAAAATTTTCGGCAAAAGAAAATTTAAAATATTCATTAACGAATGATTTTTGAATAAATTTGAATGTTAATTTGTGGATATCGCATAGATTAATTCGTTTCATTTATTTCTTAATAAATTTCTAAGTTTTTCACTTTTTTTCTCCAAAATATCACACAATTTGACGATGGATTTTATTCGATTTTATTCTTTCATTAAATTTCCAATTTCGATAATTTAAAAAAAATCGAATTGCATTGAGCGAAGGCCATATGTGTCCCATTAATTAAGCTTTTTTTTGATATTATCAAACAATATTATCGCTTTTTTTTTTAAATATTTTTGCGATGCAATGCAATCAAAAAAAGTTTTTCTTCACCTTTTTCACTTATTTTTAAAATTCTAAGTTTTTAGTTTCACGAGTTTTTCCCTCGAAAAATAGCCTAATTTTTGCGCTAAATGCAATTCGCATATTCGAATTTGCTTTATTCCATTTGGGTACTTCGTTTTATTTATATTGTTGCTTTCTCGTTGTTCTAGTTTAGATTTTTAAATATTTTTCATGAAATATTTTTGAAATACTGGCAGGTGCAAGGATGCAATTCTAAGAAGAATTTGGTATCTAAAGTTCAGAAACTTAATATTATATTTTTTGATATTTTATCGGTCC